GATGTTGGCATGTAGAACACTCAAATTTCTCATTCTTCAGGGATGCGATCTGCAAGAGCGAGACTCCTTCTGCATTGTCATAGACGATCGGTGGTGGCATCTGGTCACTGCCATCATATGGAACTGGTTTGACATGGACTCGCAGGCCTTGGCCTGATGAGATCTCTGTCGCAACGGCGATGTTCAATTGACGAGGGCCAATCCACACTGAACAAGGCCGAGTAGAGCAATGGGGCGTCAACTCGGACTCGTCAATCACATCATCAGCAGTGACAAAGCGTGGAAACGATTTTGCAAATTGCATCAAGGCATTCCCTTGCAATGACTCGAAGAGTGCTGACACAACAACAGCAGTGCGGCCATTCAAAGGAGCTTGTTCAAGAAGAACATGTCCCGCATAAGACTGCAATGGTGCTCGCATGGGCGTGGGCTGCACTACATGGAATCGCACTGCACGACCACGCTCTAACAAATCGCTCCAGGTTTGTCGTAAGTCATACGACCAGGAAATGACTTCATTGGTCAGTCGTACAGGTCGTGGATGACGGCAAATTGTATGAGCTTCATGATGAATGAACCAAGTCTGCAAATACAGATAAAATGGGCCATCAATGACTTCTTGATCACCTTCGATGCGCATGAGCTGCGCAATCTGTTGCTGCCATTGACCAGTCCAGTCCACATCAGGCAATGCAAGAGCAGTTGGTCGTCGGCTTCTTTCAGAAACAGGAAAATCATCAAATTCATGTTCTTCGCCATTTTTCTTTTGGCGGGCACCATGGAGTGATTGGGTTCGAATGTGAACATTGTCGGTTGGAACGTTGGCTGGAGCCTCATCTGGATCATCACCTCGAAGCAAGCCAGGAATGAGTCGGGCAGCCAAAGGGAACTCGAATAAATCCGCAGCCTCACGGGCAACTTGAATCGCATGAGCAGTGTCGCCATGTCCTTCAGGAGGAGGTGGGACAATGATCTTGAAGTATGCCCCATGCTGGACAAAACGAGTACCAACTTCTAAGATAGGCCATCCTCTACCGTTGTGATACACCAAACAGCTGTGACGAACCCACTCACAATAGGCATCAACACGTGCTAGTTGCAGAATGTTCGCTCGCCGCAAGAGAGGATATACTCTGTGAACCTGTCGGGTGCTATGTGGTGCAACCGGAGGAACACCTGGTTGGTGATGAGAATGCAGTTCCAAATCAATGATCACAAGACACTCAACTGATGCTGGCTGAATGTCATGAACATGTTGTAAAATGACCGCAAGCACATTGGGTGGCTGGTCAGGCAGTTGGCATTGCAAATGGTGCGCTGTGACAACTTGATCAAGCGGTACTTCAGCAATACGTGCAAGCGAAGCAATCATTGCTTGGTGTGTTGACCAGTCTGCATGCCCAAATGTGGTCGGTGCTGCAAGTCGATACACAAAGACGGACTGTCGATCAACTGTCGAGGCCATTGACACATTGGAGTCATAATCCAAATCATTGTCATTGGTATCCTGGCGTTGCTCAACATCACCATCAGCATCTGGCCGGGCGCCAGAAGCATCAGTGGAAATGGCAGGCATTACGGAGCTGCTGGCAGCTGCAGCAGCAGGAAGGCGCCGGATGATAAAACTTTGACCGTCACGGGCATCGTGTGCTGGAACATCATTCCATGGTAGCTGTGTGCGCCCATGGCGAACAGCGCAATCGTTCAAGCGGCAATCTTGTACAAGATGTGCTCGGGCAGCAACATACTTGGCACTTACAAGGTGTGGAAGTGAGACAGCCAGCGAACGTTCAGCACGTTGTTGAGGATCTTGAAATCTGATGACTGTTGCCAGACAAGCACGTCGAGGCAGGTCAAGTCCTTGAATCACCAGCAGATCAAACATCACGGGGCGCATCATATCATTGGTTCGTGGTGGATTGGGAAACACCAATGCCAGTGCAACATCTTCATCCTGGTACAGTTGGTCATCCCAGCCAGCAAGGATGTCAGCAGCCCAAAATCGCCAGTGCCCTTGGAGTTCTTGGACCCGAGGTGTGTTCCATTCAGGTACCCTGCGGTGGTGAACATACCAGCTTCGAAGACGAACAGGTTCAAGAAGTTCTTCCCCTTCAATGAGATCCTCCTCTATGAAAGCCTGAAAGAGGTCTTGGATCGATTGCGGAGCTTCATGCAGAAATGGTCCAACTGGTGGTGGTGGCTGATCTTGCTGAGCATCAGGTGCTTGTCCATCAAGTGGAAGATGCCGTAGAGGAAAATGGCGCTCATCAGAATTGCGATGGGAACGTGGCTTGCTGATGCGTTTTCCACTCCAAGGCTTATCAGTCCATGTAGAAAGCGATGCTTCAGAGATCTCAAAACTGTGCAGTGTCCAGTCAACATCAAGGCCAAGCGCAATAGAAACTTGTGGATTGAACTTCACCTGTCGACTGCTTCCCAAAGCAGGTCGTGAAGTGTGGCGCTCAACTACATGACGGTGGCTGGGCTGCAAGGTACCAAGGTCAAATGACAAGCACAATGCACGGAACGATGCCTGCCAAACCGTGGTAAATGTGGGCTCTTCCCAAATTGAGTGAGTCCAGGCCAAAACGGCAGCATGGCTCACTTCCGGGGCCACTAGGCCTTCGCAAGGACTCGGCAAAGCTGACGTCACTTGCGGGCCGTGCCAAAAGGCTCCATTGGCCCAGGCAATGAGGAGGCCCCATCTTCTACCTCGCCAGTCAGATCTGCAGGCTCGTTCAGGCGGGGTCTTTTGGCAGAACTGTTGGAATCGACGGCCATGGCTTCTGCGCTGCTTTTCAGATTGGTCAGATGCCCATGCATCAGATCCAAGTCTTGTTGAAGCCGGGCAACTGTGGGGTCGTCCACTGGCTCGGATGACATCGCCGCTTCTGCACTTTCGATCAGCTGCTGATCGCTCTTGGACAGATCGATGAGAGCACTGCGACATTCCTCGAAGACCTCCTTGGCAGAGTGGAGATTTTGCTGAGCTTCTTCGATCCTCGCCAGCAGAGCTGCCTCTTGCTGTTTGAACCCCTCGGTATATGCCTGCCATGTTTCCAAGGCTTCTCCAAGAAAGGTTCTCCAAGATCCATGCAAGCGATGGCGAGCAAGACGGGCTTGGTCCAAGGCCTCCCGAGCTTCGCTGAGGTCCGTCACCGACTGATGCATGGTCTTTGTGGTAGCGGAGCGCTGCTTCTTGGCATACTTCTGCATGATAACGTGCGCATCTGCAGGCATGTCCGGGATCTTTTTCATCTCGTTCAAGAAGCCTCGGAGCTGAGCATCGCTCGTTGATGCAGGAGCTGGCGAAGGGGCTGCACCAGCCACGGTGCTCGCAGTCGAAGGTGTCGGCTGCCAGGGCGGTGCTGGGAGTTGAATGCCAAGGGCTGCCGGGCCAAACTGCGACTCGGTCGTATTGTACGAGGGTTTGGCCTTGCCTTTCCCTTTCCCTTTGCCTTTGCGACCTCGGCTCTGGCTCCTCCTCGGCGACTGAGGTTGTTGCTGTCGCTGATGAGGCCATTGATCCTCCCATTGATTCCACGTGTTCATATCTCCATGGCTCCATTGCTGCTGCCGTCGTCGTGGACTGGCTCCACGTGCTTGATGGACATAGGTGGTGTCTCGATTCTCCCAATAGGTGCCACAATCCGGACATCGGTTGTGGCTCTGCTTGCAGAGTCTCCAGCACCATCCACAACGCCATGATTCCTTTTCCACTTTTGCCATGACTGCCCAATGAAGGTGAGCCAACAATGCAGGGTCTCGAGAATGATGTGAAGAAAGCGTCTGCTGCACACGTCGAAGACCAGGCAGTGAAAGATCTTTGTATCCCTTCTTGAACAGATACCAATCCAGTCGTGCCTTTGCACGCAGACGCCTCTGAGCACGCCTGGCAGTGTTGGTCGCCGTGACGTAGACAACAGAGTCCTTTGAAGAGCGTGAGCACAATGGTCAAAATGAGGACAAAGAAGATGAAATTGAATTGCAAACAGGTCCTGAACATTCACAAGGGTGAGGATAAAGAACAGGTCAGAGAGTGCCAGCGCCAAGCGTAGCCCAATGAAGCTGTAAATCCACCCCAATACCAAAGGCCAAGTTAATGGCAGCTGAGGCAATTCCAAAAAACCGCAAAGTGACAGTGGATAACGGGAAAATCAACCAAATATCCTAAATCAGATGCAGAATGAGGAAGATCACGTTCGAAAAAGACCTCGGATATGAGCAACGGTGATACGGACCTGCACGGGATCCGTAGAGCACAAGTCGCTGAAGGCGCTGCTCCAAATCAAAAGCGCAGCACCCGCGGGCAGAGGTTCAGCCCGCTAAGGCAGATGGCGACGAACCGGCCCAAACGGGAACGGGGGCAGGGTTCGACCAGAAATGCCTTATGATGATGGTTGCGACAAAAAACGGATGAAATTCATTTGATTCTGAGCATTGGTGTCACTTAATTACTGCAGGGCAAATGCTGGATGAAACTGACTGTATTCTACGAGTAACATCGAGTAACTACTTGATGATTTCATGACACTTGATGGATGGCAAATGATGAACGTAATGGATTTGAAATGCAGTATGATAATGTCTGGATGCTGGTGGATTCTCATGGATAATGGATGATGAACGATACTAGATGATACTGAAGAATGGATTAGATCATTCACGGATGACATTCAGTTGATGACAATGACTTAATGACAATCCCTTTAATGAGAATCAGCATCCCGTTTCTATTGCTGAAAATCAAAATATGTAAAATCACGAACCAGGCAGGTGACTGATCCGAATGCTAAGAATTCATAAGAATTCCTGGTTAGTAAGTCCCCAAATCCAGGTTTGTCTAATATTAAACACCCCCCTTTTTTTGTGTCCCAAATGTGTATAAAATCCCCCAAACGATGGTTTTTTGGGGGGCTATTTAATAGATTTTAATAGTAAGGATGAAAGGATTCACCCAACGAGTTGATAACATCCTGCTGATGGCCACACTGAGCAACGCCAGCGTCGGTTTGAACGATGTCTCGAAGAAACTCCTGTGGGAAATCCGGTGGTTAAGAACAGCGGCCATGGTCCCAACTTGGCCGATTTTCATGGGGAATTTGCCACCAAGAATGGGGGATTCACCACCATAGCATTTAAATGCAGAGCAATGAAGATTTAGGCTTGGAAAAGTCAGTGGTCAATGGTAGCTACCCTCTGGTAATTTAACATAGCTATGGAAAATCACCATTTTTAATGGGAAAATCCACTATAAATGGCAATTTTTCAATAGCTATGTTAGTTTACCAGAGGGTAAGAAAAATCAACCAAGAAGCAAGAAACTGTGTCGCTTTGTCTAGTGACAAGGAGCACCGAGTGTCTTCAAGTCTAGTCAGAATCAAACCGATCAAGAGCTGTTTGAATGGCCCTCAACATTTCCAGTAAACACATGGGCCACATGGGTTTGTCTGACAATTTTTGCGGTAAATCCTCAATTCCACCGGACTTTGATCATCTTCCCTATATTTTCATAGCTATTTAAGCGGGTCCATTTTCAGGCTTGAGGACTTGATCGTTCACCAGTTGGTACTCTGTAGCCACTGAATCATTGCAGTCCTTCCGTTTGATCATCCTATGATCGTTTCCAAGGGATACCCTGTGCGGCCTGTTTTTCGCTGATTTGTCCTTCAAAATATGAAGCAATTGGACCATTCTTTTGTCAACTTTAGTACCCCAGGTGCTGGTTTTTGAGTCCCAAGGTGTTTTTTGTTTCCCTCCCTTCTGCCTATTTTCAAATGCACCCCACAGGACCATCGGGACCATGGTTTAGTATAGATCTATTCATTTTGAGGGACCATTAATATGGTGCCATTTTGCGCTAGAGGATCAAGCATTTCACCAATCCCAACTTGATATCCTTTACGATTGATACAAGGCAGTGCTGCCCACTTCTAAGTTGGTTTACATACCTCCATGCAGTATATAGATATCATGATATATCATGATATATCTACCATAAACATCCATAAACCCTATAGTGATATATGAGTTTCTTTGCACCAACGCACCGATCACCCTTGTGTCCTCAACCTCCGGTTCGCCACCGCACCAAAGCAATAGGGCACCAGCACCCGGGCACAACGGATCCCCACCCGCAACCAGAACTCACGGAAGGCGGTGTGGAGATGCTGCGCCAAGGACAGCTGTCGATGTGCAGTGGCGGCCTTGTTGTTGAAACTACGGGGGCCCTTTGCCAAGGAAACAACATGGACAACCTTCCCATATATGTATACCAGATCATAATGGAAGGGAATCATGAAATAAATTCTTCGATGATCGTAGGGTGTCAACGGTGCAATGGGGATGTCCGAAGTCATGCCGGAACCCAAAGTTATCATCTAAGTGATTTGTTATGTGAGGAACCTAATGGCTTGGGATAGCCCAATCTTAGGAAACACCGTGTATTCAAATGAGTCGAAGCAAAAATCTTTAGGAGTTTTGCAGAAAATCGACGAAACCAACCGAAATATAGCTGGATAAAAAATCATTCTGAGTAGCTGAGCCTAATCTGAGAATCTCACATGGTGCCATGGAAAATGACAGATGAACGGAGATGATTTGCATTGATTTGCCCATGTTTTCCCCATTTTTTCCATGGTTTCCATGATTTTTCATGGCCAAACCCATCATTTGTAGATCATTGTCCTAGGGAAACGGTGGGTGTTCCACATCTATGATGACCCATATTGAAATTTAAGGGCCAGTTCTTCCCCATCCGAAATCGGGTCGCCGAGGTGCGGCCACATAGGAGACACCCAAGAAGTGCAAGGGGCTGGTGATGAGTTGAAGGGGCTGCGGCAGCAGAATCTGCAACAAGTCCTGGCGAAGTTGAGGGAAAGTTTCATGATAAAATTGGGGGAATTTCATGGGATATCTGGGATATCATGATATTTCAGGGATATAATTATTTCATATTATTTCATGGGATAGCACCCAAGAATAGTGGGATGATATAAATTTTATGATATTTTATGATATATTGATTGATTATGTGGTGTCCTCAAACATGGATGGCTGGGAAGTCCCAAAAATTTGGGCATTGAAATGAACAAATCATCGAACTAAATGGATCCAAATGGGGGATGTTCAAGCCATGTTTGTGTGCCCCCAGAGGGTCCGTTGCAATCTGGTCCTTGGTGTTTAGGCCAGGCTTCCACCTTTAACTTATGAAATAGAACTTATTATATATGAACTTTAAATCTTTAACTTATAATAACTGTCTATATAACTTACTTATATATGAACCTTAACTTAAATGTTAACTTTAACTTTTATATGAATAACTATATCATATAGCTTATAACTCATCACTCGACTCATAACCAACAAACACCCTTTGGGATGGCCCTTCGCTGCCTTCGCTCCCGTCCTGGATGGGCACCCCGGCCACCGAAGTGACGCCCTTCGAGGTGAACCACCTGCTGAGGGGCTCCGGAAGAACGAAGACCACCAGGGAGAAGGACAGGTCGCGCAGGACCCACACCACCACCGCGGCCTCGGCGGGTGACAGGTGAACTGCTGGCGTGGCTTTTAGATGGTGGAGATGGCCATGATTTTTTGAAAAAAACACCAGGTAACTCCCAGGGTCACCAGGGTCCATCTAAAGTGGGGTTGGAGATGGTGGAGGCTTGGGGGGTGAAGAGATGGAGACTCAATCAGCCCATTCCTAAAGGTTGATGGATAGGGGGAATCTTGACCACCAAAAAACACAACGCTATGGGCAAATCTTAACCATCTATTATAGGAGGGTCACCTTTGGGTTCACTTGACGCTTCTGACATGGCATGTGAATGGTACTTTTTGAGGGGAATGGAGGCTGAAACATGACAAACAAAGCCAGTTGTAATCGTCACCGCACCACCCCGCATGGCCGGATATATCGACATACATGGACCAAAAAGGACAACATCCCTTTTTTAAGGTGCGGTTTCACCCCCAAATCAAAGCCGAAATATAGCTAGGCCAGACCGCCAGACCCTCCAAAAACTGGAAAAAAAATGGGTCTTCGTGGACCATCCAAGTCCAAGCCGCCAATGGGGGAGCAATGCCACCCGTGAGGAAGGCATCCTTCAAACACATGATGACACACTGCACCACCGTGGTGAACAGCCAAACCTCGACATTTCATGACATCTCAGAACCGGCAACTTCACCACGTTACGGGAAGATGGGGTTTGGGGGTTGAATTGGCCACGCCTGATATATGTCTTAAGGGGAAAACCATAACTATAGTGATAAGGACTAGAATTTGCTGAAACCAACCATCTGGGATGAAATTTCGAGCGTTCACAGGGGACGAACATCTGGTGACTACAAGCTGCGATCGCTGGTTCAAAACCCATGGAGTCCCTGGTTCATACCCCGAAGGATGGTATTTCCATGTATTTGCTATAGGGTTTGATCGATCCCCATTTGTTTGCTTCCCTGAATCAGCGACAGCATCGTGCAACAATAGTTATAAAGAACTGGACCAAAAAATGAGACTGATGAAAAACAAATTGACACCAAAATTCAATGCTTCAGTACCGCACATGAACAAATTTGTGATTTCTCTAGTACCCTTTTCTATTTTTCTTGAATTATTAGATGTTGCCAAAGTTCTATTCTCCAGCCGCGAAATGACACCCAATCCAAGTTCAGTCACGTTCAAATCCCCAAACTCCAAACATATTTTCGGTTGAAACAGTTTCAACCTAGCCATGGTCATCGTTGGTCTCGTTTAGTAAGGGGGTAGTAACCACATGATACTCCAGTTATAAACGGAACATCCCCACTTACATCTGGGTTCTTTCTTCCACATTGTGACTACTATAGTTGGGATGCACATCCAAGCAGATCATGTTGGGATGCAGAACCACATTGATATACTGACCCATAGGATCCATGTATGCTATATATATATATGGTAACATGGATCCCATCCATATACCCCCTTTATGTCAGCATATATATACCAGCACCATGGATCCTATGGGTGATATACTCCTATCAAAGATGATACAATGTTGGAGTAAAAGTTGCTCATCATCATCGAGTCATTGTGGATGCCCGTCCGTGATTGTGGCTCAATACAAAAAGACAAGACACCCCACTTCTGGGGCCCAAAAATGAATAGAATAGATCATAATAATAATAATAGTAATAATAATAATAGTAATAATAATAATAGATTCAGGGTTTTTTTTAAAAAGATCAAACAACTCTGTCAACAGCTATGGCGTTTATTCGACAAGCCGAGACAGTGCGGTATCCAGGTCAATCACGTGCGTTCTGAACTCACCACCGCACATTGTATTGCCCCATGCAACTTGCGAGCCGTCTGACCGGATTGCGGCAAATGCTTCCGCAGTGCCCTGAATCTGCTGCACTTTCTGAAGCTGACTTTGGACCTCAGAGCTGTTGCCACCGGTGTATGGTTCGCCCCAAGTCACCACTGATCCATCTGCCAGGATTGCCGCGAATGCAGCATTTGTGGCCTCAATCTGCTTGACATTCCTGAGGCGATTTTGGACTGCAGAGCTGTCACCACCACCATGTGGATCGCCCCAAGTAACGACAGATCCATCTGCCAGGATCGCAGCAAATGCAAACCATGTGGCCTGAACCTCACGCACATTCCTGAGCTGATCGGTGACTGCCGAGCTGTTCCCGCCGAACCCCGGATGGCCCCATGTCACAACAGAACCATCTTCAAGAAGCGCCGCGAAGGCACCACCTGTAGATTGAACCTGCTGCACTTTCTGAAGCTGACTTTGGACCTCAGAGCTGTTGCCACCGGTGTATGGTTCGCCCCAAGTCACCACTGATCCATCTTGCAAGGTCGCAGCAAATGCACCAACAGCGGCTGTAATCTGCTTGACATTCTTCAGCTGATGCCTCACATCAGAGCTGTCGCCACCCGACTCTGGATTGCCCCAGGTGACAACAGAGCCATCACTCAGGATCCCCACAAAAGCACCCCATGTGGCTTCAATTTTCTGCACGCTCCTGAGTTGATCTTGGACTGCAGAGCTATCACTGCCATAGTTTGGATTGCCCCATGTAGCGACAGAACCATCGGCCAGGAGTGCAGCAAATGCAGCACATGTGGCCTGCACCTGTTGCACATTCCTGAGCTGATCGCTGACTGCAGAACTATTGCCACCGCACGCCGGCTGGCCCCACGTCACAACTGAGCCATCTTCCAAGATGGCAGCAAAGGCCCCAGCTAGGTATGCGTCGTCATATAGCGACTCTTCAAGTACTGCTACTCTAGTGCCTTGCACCAGCTGAACACTTCCAAGATGGTTTCGGACTGCAGAGCAATTGCTCGTGACGCTGTGGTGGCCCCAGGTAACAATTCTGTCGCCTCCATGAGACCACAATGCAAAGGCCCCTGCTGTTGCGGCTAGCTTTGCTTGTTGTGCAACAGCTGTGACATGGTCACCATCGTGAATCCCTGCATCCTCCAGTGACTTCTCGGGATCATTCAGGACGTGGCCTCCTCCACTGACAAGCCTGACTAAACTTTGTCCGAAAGCCTTCTGGGCCAATTTTTTTAAGTCCCCTACTTTGGAGGACTCCTCAAGTGCCAAACATTTTCTTTTGCCACTGGGCAAGGCAAGGTTTATGTAAATCATTTCTCATAGAAAGAAGATTAGAGCAAATTCATTGCTCTTGAAACATTTCGAGCCAATCTCCTGCGGAAGAAAACATATTCATCATGTTCTACATATCTACCACAGCTTTGATGCGATTCTCAAACCAACTGGCCATGCGATGAGGATTTTATGGCACGTCTAGTGGATTTTAGGGGATGTTAATGGAATTTCCGAGAAAGTTTAAGGTTTTATGATATTCTTCTAACTGTTTTTATCGGATTGTTTAATAGGATTTCGAGGACATTTTAAAAGATTCCATGTGCTGCATAGTTTCTGTACCCTCTGGTAAACAGCCACATAACTATGGAAAATCACCATGCTATTCATGGGAAAACTCACTATTTCTATCATTTTCAATAGCTATGTTAGTCATAACCAGAGGGTATCCCTATCATTTGATGGTGAAATTACGAAATCCCCATGGAAATCCCCAGGTTTTCTGTGTTCCATGGCTTTTTCCATTCAGTTTTCCCACCGTCCACCAGCCGTGGCGTCCAAGCGTCATAGACCGCGGGGGGCAGCTGTCGCGCCGTGCAAATGCTGCGCACCACGTTGGCCACGGCGTAGGTCCCGCTGAAGGTCAGCCAGGTCCAGGCGATGGCGGGCAGGACGCTCAAGGGACGCCTCAGGTGGCGGAGATCTGGTGACCTGGTGACCTTTAAGGGCAAAAAAACGTTGGGTTTAAAGGTGATTCAATCCACTTATAGATGATAGGTTTAAATATGTTTAAATGGCTGAGATATATTGTGATATATTAGTTGATAATCCACTTATCCCTATGGATCCAAACACTGAGAAGGTACGGCTAACCCTCCAAATCATAGCCCAAACACTTCCTAAGAAGGTACTTGGATCCATAGGGTATAGATGATGGGTTTAAATGGCTGATAATTGTGATATCTTGTGATAATCCAAATTCATAGATCAATGGGAGATCTTCAGGATCCAATTGATGGAGGTACGTTAGTACCATTTTTCAGGCCAAAATTTGTGGGGATAATCCCCTACGTAGGCCTAAACAATAGGCCTTATATATGGTGGCTACCTCCAATCGGATCCTGAAATTCCCATTGAATAATCTACTTATAGATGATGGGTTTAAGTTGCTGATAATTGTGATAATCCACTTTTAATGGATGATGACAGTTTCAGTGGATGATAATCCAGATTTTAGTGGTGATGAAACATGATGAAGAAGGTGATTTTATGGGTCTATGGGTCTGTAACTGAAATAAGCAGCACACATCCAGCTAAGTTGGGACTAAATGATCTACATTGCTTTTTGAATGGGGGTATAAATGGATAAGATTGGGATTAATATGCAACAAACATCCAGTCTGGGTAAATAGGTTTTAGAGATAGTCAATCAGACACTGGGTAACTGTTGACAAGTCCAATGTAAATAAATATCTTCTCGCCGGCAACTGTACAGATTGAACCCAAAAAAATTGGATACAAATGGATCAAATGGTATAAATTATAGATATTCTATATTATATAATACACCCTCTGGTAATCTAACATAGCTATGGAAACCATGGCCCATTTATGGACGATTTCACCGGGAACATGACAATTTTCCATAGCTATGTTCAATTGGAGGGTAACCGATAATAACCAATACTGCCTTACCGCGTCCAAGAGTTCCCATCCCATCATCGCAGCCAATGGATGTATTCCCAAGTTTTGGTTGGTTATTCTGTTATTCTTGATTGGTTGATATCCCAAAACCTACTATTTTTTTGTAATTCATCCAAGTTTTGTCAATCTCACAATTTTTGAGTCAGCTAAATTCGATGTTCCTTCATCCATCCTGTGTCAGTTCCTTCCTGTGACCGAGCTTCAGAAAGCAATCGCCAAAGACTTGGGCCAATGAAGCAATGGCCCCCGGTGACTCGGGCTTTCCGGCACCTCGGGCGAAGGAAGCGTTGTTAGGGAAGCGTTTTTAGGGAAAGGAGATCCCATCAGGAAAAGCTCTGCCAGAGATCCTCAGCGTAAAGCATGACATTTTGTGGATACTCCAGGTCCATAATAGGGAACCGGCTTTCTATGACTTTCTGGTTTTTTCACTTGCGAAAATCAGATTGAAACGAGAAATGATGGAGCTGGAGCTGGAAACAAGATGGACATCATGGAGACCAGGGCAATCAACTATGAGGATGTATCATACCGAGAAAAACAGGATTATCATGGGACTATCATGGGACGACATAGATCTACTCAAAATTCATTGTGATTCTGTTTTTTTTGACAAAGGCGGGCTCCAAAAAAATGGATATGACATGATATGACCTTTTGGCCAGTGGAACGGCACGTCATCCAGTCATCCTCCTAGTCACCGTAGAAAATATGCCGTTGATTTCATCCAAGTAATGTTGGATTTTCCAGTACCCTCTGGTAAACATACAAAAAGCTATTGAACATGGCCATAGAAATAGTGAATTTTCCCATCAATAGCATGGTGATTTTCCATAGCTACGTTAAATTACCAGAGGGTAACTACTAGAAGTCTTGCATAGTCTTGCTATAGCAAGTCCTTTTCAGAAAAGTGTTGCGGGGCCTGTTTGTTATACTCTGAATAAAATCATATTTAATAGAGGTTGTTGAATGGTGGACCCCTCTGAAAAAAACAACCAGGGGGAAAGGATGTCTATGTAATTTTATGTTCACTATAGTTTGTCAATCATAACTATTGCTATAGTTGGTTCTATCCCTATTATTTATATATATATATATTATAAACATACACCGATGATTTCTTGACAAATAGAGGGTTGCTTACCACTTAGATACAAAGCAGTTAGATATCTTAAAGTAACTACAGGATATCCGGAATCCCGACTCGTATTTCGTAACAAGTTGCTGTAGACATCTATAATTAGTCACCAAAAAACAAAAACCATCTTCACATATCTTCACTATATAATACTATATACTCATACTGAATCATCTAAGATCATTTGCACAGAATTTACGAACAATAGCTATGGGTACTAAAATCATCTATAATTCATGATTAAAGCTAGATATTTTTGGGGGGATGACTAACT